GAATGAGTTGATTGAACAGTTTAGGAGGTTAGTGTACCATTGAAGAGCTGGGCTGGAGAGGCTTAAACCAAAGCTCTTACACATGTAGGGTTTCCTCAATGTTCGGGGTATCGAGATGACAAACATCCACTGCTTATAGGAGGCTATGTGGTCATCTTGGTTGGTTGTACCATCATAGGGCTTCATGCTAGGGATGGTGAATTTGTGTGGCATTTCGGCTAGCACGATTGCATCCACGAAGGGTGAATCGGCATAGTAGTGAGGTTGGCTCCTTTTGGTAGGGATTGACATTCCTGGTATGCGCCTCATCACTGCCTTTATGTCGGCTAGTCTTTTGGCCAATATTTGTTCCATGGGAGAGGCGAATACAGCTAGGTCATCCTGATTGACTCGGTTGGCCACATGATTCGTACTTGATGCGTTTTGTTAGGTCAATCCGCGTGGTGTAGCCTGACGGATCATTCTGTCGTGTGCCGCTTGGTAGCCTAGATCCCCATTCATTCCCTCTGGTTGGGTGACTCCCATTGCAACCGATCAGGTGTTTCGCCCCACACGAACTGTAAGGAGGGTTATTTGGAATTCGCTGGGTCCGTTGGGATGGATAGACTCGAGCGGGATGGTTTGAAGGAGTAGGGGACCACTCGACCCATGAGGATGAGGCGGGCCGAGTGGGGTTTGGGTAGGGATGGTTGACTGAAGGTGAGATGAGACGGCGAGGATGGGTGGTTCTTGTTGTAGCGGGCTTTCTGTCACTTGGACGCCTTGATCTCGTGTCTGAAGCGGATTGACCGAGAGTGGTTCTATTGGAAGCCCCCGTTCACTATGAGTCAGGGCTGAATCGTCAACTAATGACGAACATAGTTGGCGTGGGTCTGTGCTCTGGAGTTTGGAAAGGTTGCGTAGACGAAACTATGGCGCGGAATCGATTGGGTTGTACCTAACAAGGCAGAAGCTCAAGATCATAAAACTAACTGACCTTTTCTTTTAGAGACTAGTTTTCAGCCTTGATGGAGGCGTTTTCAATCCGAATGGTAGTGTTCTCAGCTTCCAGTGTGGCCACCTTGTTTGAGTGTTGTTGCATGAGGGCGGTTAGAGCCTCCAATCTAGCCTTGAGGCCAGGATTAGTGTTATCAGAATTTTCAGCCATAGAGAATTTCTTTACGTAGCAAGGTTTGTGAGATGAATGATTGCCAGAGGCCCCACGGTGGGCGCCAGACTATAGATGCAAAAATCTACCTATACGGAAATGGGGACTGATCCCGTGAGGTTGAGACCACTAGCAATCTGTTGCACCTGCACACGTAAGGAAACAAGCGTGAAGCAGACGAAAAACATCGAGGTGGTGTTTGCCGTAGGCACTCTGACGCTTAAGTCAGCAAGACTAAATGAGGCTAGTTTAGTGAGGGTTAGGGAAAGGAAAAGTTACCGGAAGTCTAGTTGGGGATTGTGACTACGGATGGAATGCGAAGTTCTCAAGTGGGAACTCCAGGGTCTGAAGGTGTAATGTCTTCGTCCCTTGTGAGAGGGTTGGCCTCTGTTTAAATAGTGACTGTAGGGTCTTCGAATCCCGGTGGGATTAGGAGTCCTTACAGCGGTGGTTTTCTAAAAGAGTGGAGCTTTTGGCTCCCTTATCTCAGTAAGAAAGGGAGTCCTAATGCGCCTAGGATACGGACTGTAGACGAATTAGGATAGTGATTGACTTCCTTAGTAGAGTTCAAGTAGTATTGTAGTTTGTAGGCAACTGTGGGCTCCAAGTTGATCATAAGTCCAGAAGGTGTTCTAGGATCAAAATGCCTGGGTCTAAATGGTGAGGAATTGGGAAAGCATACCGAACGGGCCTCATCTGCATAACTCTGATTTGGGCCCCATTGGAATTGGGCCTGAGCTTTCAGCTTTGTTGAATGTGTCTTCGTCTTTGGACCTATTTGGGCTAAGGACATTTTTTGGCCCTAACACTATATAAATGTAAAATGGGAATAAGTAATTGTGATGAAATCAGATCTTAGGAGTGGTTAAGTTGAAAGACATCACATTTGAGATAATTGCTTTTTATTGTCTCTTTGTTTCGGCAACAATATTGCTTCTTGTTCTTGATTCCTTTTCCTCGTATTAGGATTTACTAATAAGGTGACTAGGTGAGAAAATGAAGAATATTTGAAAACAATAAATATGACTAAGAATAATGTCATATGCATTAATCATCAAACCGGTGACAATTTTTTTTGTTTTTTTTCTTGATTTATGTTGTTGCAATTTCTTACACCAATGAGAAGTACATGAACCTTCATGGAAGTTCGCACAAGGGTTTATCATAGACCAAGAATATGATGTTGAACCAATGAGAGAAATAATATCAATGCAAGTAAATAAATAAAGAGAACACAAAAATAGTTTTTAAAGTAGTTTGAATGCAAAAAGCAAATCATATGTTTACTGTTATCTTATTGCTTTTCTAGTGTGTTTTGGTGTGTTTACAAAAGACTATTTACTCTCAAATGAGACATTTGCTTTTAGCTATTGAGAAAAATAAAAATTCGGATCTCTTCTTTTGGGTGAGGGGCCCCTATTTATACTGTTGCATATGTGGATTTACTCATGAAGTAATTCTCTCATCGCATGACACGTGGCTTGACAAACCACCCTTATTAGAGACTTACTAGTAAAGTAGTTTTTTTATGAGATGACAGACGGCCTAAATGACAACTTAGTTCTAAACCTTACTATTGAAGCAGCCTATGATAACCTTACAAATGAAGTAATATCTTCATCAATAATGCTACGGACACTGAAAACCTGCATGGAAATTTTGCACCGAATGACGTGTCAACTGAGTTGACGCAGCCACGTAGCATATTAACAAATATTTCGCGAATGAACGGATGTCCATCAAATATGGACAGGCATTCGTGATTATTGGACGACCGTTCATTTTAAATGGACTTCCGTCCATGAGAAAATAACAATGGACGGGCGTCCGCCTAGAATGGACACCCGTCCATTGTTTAAAATAAAAAAAAATTAAAACAAAAATTATGGATACCCGTCCATATATTATAGATAAGCGTCCATATTCAATGGACGGGCGTCCCTACTAGATGGACGCCCGTCTATTGTTAAAATTAAAAACAAAAGTAATGGACGGACGTCCCTCTTAGATGGATGCCCGTCCATTTCCATCCATTAAATAGGGAAACAGGTGTTCTCATATAAGTGTCTTACGGAAGTTCATCACTTGAACTGCATACATCATTGTAGTCAAGGGGTCTGCCATCTACAATAAAAAATAAAGTAAAGAAACAGGTGCCATGGACTTTGGCCAAAAAATTTTACACACAAAATGAGTTAAATACTTGTTGCTTGTTGGTTGGTGTCAAACTTGTTATATCATATTGTATAAACTGGTGCAGTTAATGCTTGTTGGTTGGTGTCAAACTTGTTATATCATATTGTATTCAATGTTGGTTGGTGCAATTAATGCTTGCATTCAATACTGGTATATCCTTTATTTCTCTGATTATTTGAGCATTAAATAAATTTAAAATTGTTAATATTAAAAGATCTGTCCATTTTTTATTTTTAAAATTTTTTGAATGGGCTTCCAAACAATTATGGACCCCGTTTATAGTCAATAGACTCCCATCCATATTATATAGACTCCCGTCTATTGTTATTTTGATATAAGAATTCGTCCAGATTAATAGATAATCGTCCATTTATAATGCATAAACGTCCATAAATTATGGACGGGCGTTCCTACTTAATTGAGTGTCCGTCCACTAAATAGGGACACCCGTCCATAATGTATGGACAGACGTCCATGATTTTTGTTATCAAATTTTTTTAGTTTAAATTATAGATAGACGTCTTTATAGGTAGATTTCTGTCTATATTTAATAGACGGTCGTTCATTCGTAAAATATTTTTTAGTATATTACGTGACTCATCGACTGAGATGACATCTCGTTTAGTTTAATATTTTGATACAAACCACCTGTGTCTATAACATTATTGTCTCTTCGTAGCATGACACACTGTCTGAATAAATGCACAATCACAGAACACATAGCGAGGGCTCATGCTCCATCTGCATTGTCACAAGACACGTGCATGAATTTACAGTACAACAGTTTATAAATTAAAACTTTACATTATTACAATTTTAGCCTTCATTAAATTAGACGTGACATTGTTTAACATGTGAAACAAAAATTAGGCCTCCGTCCACCGTATATATATATAATTATGAAGGCCGGAAGAAGCGACAAGAAAATATCAAAGAAAAGAAAGAATGACTGGGTCAGTTGTGTGACAAAAGTTGGTCCCACTCAAAATATCTTCTACGACAATGTGCTTCTGTGAGTGGCTTACTATCATGTGCATCGTCCTTGGCCACCCAGCACCTTAGACTACATCGCACCACACGATCTTGCTCTCCCTCATCTACTTCCCCCGCCACGTGTTCCCTTTTCCCATTGAGGTTATCTCTTCATTTCCCTTTCTCCCTCGACCGACGCTTCTCCTCTTCTAAAGCTACCTCTCTTCAGAAATCTTCACCCGCACTCACGATCACCGTAAATATTTGTTAGGTTAATAAATTAATTAAAGTAAATATTATATGCAGAAATCAATATAACACAAATTAATTATATCATTTTTTTAATTTATTAAAGGACAAAAGTAAATCACATGTTCTAATAATGATAGGATTGTAAAGCTCACATGTATCTTAATTCTTAAGACACATCGAAATCACTCCGTTAGAATATTATATGTTAATTAATTACAAATTAAAAAAACTATAAAGAAACAAATACATACGTGGCACTCGGGATCATGCTTAATTGATACGCTTAATTATTAATCCCAGCCACACAGGGTCCTATGTTTCGGTCTTTTGACGTGGCATACTTTCATTGGTCATTCATCCATATCAGCAAAAACCTCACAGTATCCAATAATAAAACCCGTGAATAGTCATATAAAAGCTAACTGCTTCACCTAATCACATTTCATCGTAGTTTCAAAGCTAAAGCCCCCCAAATTGTTTTTTTATCTCATGGTATCCAAAAACCCGAACCCATCTGAAGGATTCTACTTGGATCCGAATGGAATGGCGTTACCTGGACTCAGACCTTTTGCCACAGCCGCGACAACAGCTGCCGCTCCATCTACGGTGTCTTCGTCAGAGGATCCGTCAAAGAAGATCCGAAAACCCTACACTATTACCAAGTCTAGAGAAAGCTGGACCGAACCCGAGCACGACAAGTTCCTTGAAGCGCTTCAACTGTAATTGAACGCATCTTTCATCTCTTTAAACTGTTCGTTGTGTAATTTGTGTTTCTGTCGATGGCTTTAAGGGATTTGAAATGATTTTTCTGGCTGTATGTTTTGTATTTTCGTGTAAATTGGCTTTAAATTTTGTTTGGATTGCGAGAAAGTTGAGTGGAGAAAGAAAATTCGCAGTCCTTTGTGATATTTAGTGTGACTATGAATGTGTTGAGCTTCAGTTTTGTTTATTAAGAATTAGTAGGAGAAATTAAGAAAATGAATATTTCTGAGATTTGAAATTTTAGCTAGTTTTACTTTTACTTTACCTTAGCTATTGAAGTGATGTTCAGATTTTTTATTTAATTGGAAATTTGTGGATGTGTTTAGTTGCAATATGGTTGTTCAGAGAAGTAGTGGGAAAATTTATGAAAGTGGACTTTTCTAGATTTGGAATTTTAGTTCATTTATGTAATTTATTTGAATTTTGTTATCTTTAAGAGAAAGCACTTCATTCTGGGTGAACTGCCATATAATGAGGTAGTATTATTATTTGCGTTTCAAAATTTTTTTGTTAGGAGGAATAGCTTAGTGTGAAGCAAGTAGAATAAACTTGAACAAGTGGAAATATATTGAATGGTACACTTAAGAGAGAACCTATGCCATTAGCTTTGCGCCAAAGAGAAGAGAATTGTTTGTGCAAGTGGTTCATTTACTTGTTTGGTGCATGTAATACCATTTCAAGTTTATTTTTGTGAAATCATGCAATATAATGAGGTCCAACTGGAAAATCTAAAGGCATGATATCTTCTTTTAAGGGCTCTGGAACCATAGAAAAGGTATGACTGTAGGTGCTTGTGAGTAGTCTATGCTGTATGATCCTCGTGAATGAAGCATTTTATAAAAGAATTCTAAATATTGTTTAAAAATTTCAGGATAACTGGGTTCTTTATTCATGGAGAGAGATTATTGTCTTGGAGAAATTCATTTAAGGTTGAAAATTTAATTGAATATTTGCAAAGACAAGGAACATTTGATATGAATTCTTATCTTTACTATTATGCTTTTGTCCCCTGATGGTTTTTATGTTCTTGTGATTGTATTCAGCTTTGACCGTGACTGGAAAAAAATTGAAGCATTTGTTGGGTCAAAGACAGTCATTCAGGTACACTGAAGTCCAGAACTCCCTATTTGCAATATCAATGTTTTTCATGCTGGTACCTATTATATTATTTCATTTTTTTTCTTTTTTAGTTTTTTTTTTCTCTTTATTATGGTGTCATTTTGTTGGGGTTTTGTTTTAAGTATTTCCGTTACCTTTGCTACTTCTTTCTCGTAATTTGTTGTCCAGCTGCGTTTATTATGTGTGGGCTGTAAATTTCCGAGTTTTTGGTTATAGATTCAGCTATTTTACTCTTCTACTAATGGTTAACAATACACAATAGAAATATATAAGAATTGGAGGACTCTGTTTTGCAGATTCGCAGTCATGCACAGAAGTACTTTCTAAAGGTTCAGAAGAATGGAACAGCTGAACATCTACCTCCTCCCAGACCTAAAAGGAAAGCTGCTCATCCTTATCCTCAAAAAGCCTCAAAAAATGGTGAGAATAGTTAATTTTGATTTTTGAAGTATGTTTAGTGGTCACTATGCAAATTTAATGTAATTCAGTCTCAATATGACACTCTTAACAGCTCCAGTGCAATCACAAGTCTCGGGTTCCTTTCAACCATCTTCTGGTCAACTTGAACCTGGACATTTTCTAAGTCCTGATACCTCTTCAATGCATATGATTCCAATGGCTAGTGCTGCTGCATCTTCCTGGACAAACAATGTCCAAACAGTTGGTTTATCACATGTGACAAAAGGTTAGTCGTTTTACACTCACTGTAATATCAATAATATCAGCTTGATTTATGCTAGCTCTATAAATCTTTTTAAATGTGTTATGTGCTTTGTAGGGCCAGCAGTGGCAAATAACCGAAGCAGTTCCACTGAGAGTACTCCAAAAACACGAGCCGGACGGGAAATGACTGATCAAGGAAATCATGGTCATTTAAGAGGTGATACATTCAACTTTAGCTTTATGCTTATGGTACTTATTAGTCATCCATACCCTTATTCTCATTTTTTTTTTTCTTATTAGCACTTACAATGCCATTTTTGTTGCAGTCCTGCCTGACTTTGTGCAAGTATACAGTTTCATTGGCAGTGTATTTGATCCAAATGTTTCCGGTCATTTGCAGAAACTTAAAAAGATGGATCCTATAGATGTTGAAACGGTATTTTACAAATTGAATTTGTATTATCTCGGTCATTGTTGTTGTATAATATCAAAGTTTTTCTGGCCATATAATTAATTTTCTAATAGCAAAAGTTGTTTCTTAATCCTAGTCAATCATTGTGATTTTAGTTTGATGTTCTGTGGCTTTACTTTACATTGCAATGATCAAATATTTACTTACCTTTCTGGCTTCTGCACAGGTGCTGTTGTTGATGAGAAACCTCTCAATAAATTTGACTAGCCCCGATTTTGAGGATCATGTAAGTGTCCTTTCCCCTGCTTTACCTTTACCTCTTTTTTTTTTTTTTTTTCTTTTTTTTTTACTGTTCCACCGTTGTGTTTTCATATTCCGTCTCCCATTGTGATCCTTGGGCAGCTTGTGCTTTTTACTTAGGATTGTGATCACTGGATTGGATCACAATGAAAAATTAGCTTTTGCCTTGTTGTTAATGGGCTCTCATTTTTTTTTTTTCCTTTTTGAATGGATGCAGAGAAAGCTGCTTTCATCCTATGAAATCGAGACAGAGGCGGCCAACTATGGTGGTGCAAATAATGTCCTTATTAATGATCAACAGTGCAAAAATGTTGCGTAGTTTCGGTAGGTGACTAGAAATAGATTAGATTTTACTTGATCATATGTACCTATTCTTTCCTTCATTTTTGTGTAACCAATACTTACTTTCATCTCCTGATTTGCTAGGAGAACTGAGTATCCAATAACTTCAACAGCCAACCTAGTATCAAAGAAAAGATACACTGGTTGTCACTGGTGTCTCCAGTTGGATAGACATTTGGCTGCACTGTCTGACAATACACTCACCCACCGTGTCAGGTTCATGTATATATTTTTTGAAGAAAAAAAAGAAGGGCAAGAAATCGTAATAGAGGAGTGTACAGTTCAAGCTTGTTTTATGAGGGTTAGCCTGTAAAGTGATGTATTACTGTTTTTGGTGATGTATATGCATTGTTCTGTATACCTCTTGTAATATTTTCCTAGAACAAGTATATACTAGTTTCAAATTTCCGGCTTAGCATGTGTGGTGGTATGTAATCAATGTTTTAAAACCCGGCCCAACCCGGCCGGTTTAATTGGTTCAATTGGGACCTAGAAGCTTCAACGGGTCAGGTTTCTATTTTTCCTATTCACCCAAAACCCTAGGATTTGGGAGAATGATCAGCGAACAATTGACAACCGGGATGTTGGGGCTTTTGAAGAGAAAGTGTTGGAGAATGCAATGGTGGTGACGAAGTTGATTTTCGGTGAGTAAATCGATCGAAAATCGAACAAACTAGCAGCGGCAACAATCGGCTTTTGCTAGCGATTAGTGAGGCTAACGGGAGTGGAGTGAGGTGGGTTTTAGTCGAGAGGAAGAGGGGAGTAATATCTAAGTGATGGGAAGGGTTGTTAGCGCCGACGTCGATGAGATGGGTGTATTTTAAGGGGAATGGCCTCAAGGGACGATTAGGTTTACATATGGGGTGTTGTTGCCGCCAACCAGTCATCGGCAGATTTGTATTTGGGGTGTATTTGCTAAATTTCAAGCTTATAAGGATTTACTTGTAATTTTTAAGAGTGTATTTGTTGAATTTTATAAGTGTTTGTCAACCTGTTTGACCGCCGGTCAAATTAGTTAAGCTAGTCAACTCGGGATTCGACAACTTTGTCAGCTTTTACCTCAGGTTGGGTTTTAAAACATTGTATATAATTATTGTTGGATATAAACAATTAAGGCAGAAAACTGAACATACCCTGTTGATATTTTATATCTTCACTGATATGAAAATAAAGTTGTTTGGTTGATCTCTATCAAGTTTTGTACGCCCTTTCCTCCGTTGCATTATTTTGACCTAGTGAAGTTTATGGCTACAACTAGTGGATTAGAATGATTATTTTTTATGTCATTTATTATTTTATTACGTGCTTTGCCTGGCAACAATTCCCATGCAAGAGATTTAACGCAACAAAATCCATGACGTAAATTGAAAAATATCTCACAGCTAAAGCCATTAACACAAGAACTTCCATCCTAAAGTACTTATTTTCACTCTTCAAGGCCATTGCTGCCGAGGCAAGCCTAATAGAATAATGTATAACTGAACAAATTGAACGAACGGTGGCAAATAAACAGCACTGTGTTAGCTCTTCAAATATATTCATTCATTTTCTTTCTTTTAATATATATATAGTAAAATCCCAACTTAAAGTGAATGTACGATATCCAACACATTCGATCTCAGTTTAAATTGTAGTAAAAAATAAAAATATGGAAGTCAAATATCCAGTATCACCAAAGAGATTAACATCCATGCTAAAGTTGAACTCATGTAGCACATCTATATTCAGCCAAATTGTTTATTTTCCATACCAAAATCCCATGTCCACCTGTTTGCTGAAGATTTCTGAATTGTGACCATGACCAGCCACAGCAAGAGGATGTGCCTGCCTTGATCTTACTTCCATCTCCAAGAGCCTATTGTAGGCTGCTTTATCACTGATTCCACCGACAATATGACCTGAAAACACCACATAAAAACAGCAACCAGTTAAGACTCATTCTTATCAAAATTGAATTCCAAAAAGTAGTAACAGGTCAAACACAAACATAATATGTTAAAATTATGAGCTTAGCATAATTCCGAAACTGTGTAGAGAATACTCTACCTGCAATTGGCATGTCAAGGCCCTGATAGTATTGTTGTCCATAATATAATGGAAGATTTTGTGTTGGGTATAGTAGCTCCTGAGTATAGCAATTCATTTCATTACTGGGATGAAGAGAAGGTGAACCTCTTGGCAGTACACCAACTTGGTGAGGAGAAGATTTGCTTGGAGTGGGCATCTGCTGTACTGGTGGACTATTGATAGGATGTCCAAACCTCCTTTGGTCAGCTTGAGGGTGCTGGAAATGACCAGAAAGCACATTTGTAGAAAAAGGATGGAGTGGTTGTGGATTATAAAGATAGTTCTTTGAATCTAAGGGCCTTGTCTTATGACTCATTTGAACTTCTTGAGCATCTGAAGATCTGAAAAATACCTTCACTGGATTTATATGGTGTTGGTCAAATGATGAAAAAGATTGCTTGCTATGCATACTTTGATAAGAAGTCTCCAAACCCAGCACATCGTAAGAATCAAAAATAGGACCATCCAAAGCAAGTTCAGTATATATTTCCTCACCACGGTTGAGACTAAGAGCTTCTAGCTCATCAGAATTATCAACCTGGGAATTCACGGTAAAAAAATCAGATTTAACTGAACCACCTTCAGCTGAAAATGTGGAGTCTTGTGGAAGTATGAAGTCATCTACTGTAATCAAACTGTCCTCATCTGGTAAACAAACTTCTTCTATTGAATCAGCACTTTCATCAAAGCCACTGACAGGACTGAGCTTGGACTCTGACTCACTTCCAAGGTTATATCCTATATTGGTCTGGCTATCATCAGAGATCGATATACTCTCCCCAATTTTACTCACTGCAGTTCTCTTACAACAGCTTTTTGAAATAATACCTTCACAATTAATCCCAATGGATCTAGATTCATTGACTGCTGGACAAAATATTTTATTATTACCACTAGCTGGAAATGGAAATTCACGAGGCTTCAACATATCATTTCCTGTAACCATGCCAACAGAGTGTGCCTGAATACCTGCAAATTCTGTTGTTTGTGAATCCTTTGCAAAACCTGTTCAAAATTTGGTTAATGAGTCAGATTTTTTCATAATACCAAGTATTTCTTTGAATGTTAAGCATTTTACCGTTATCTCCAATTTCAAGAACGAGGAATTTACCTATGGAAGCCATGCTTAGCTTTGAAAACTTTTCCTTATCTGTTTGGTCTGGCTCCTCTAGAAAAGAGAGAAGATGCCGAGATGCACCATGCTCAGCAACAGAATTTGGCTGCCTGTCCTTTTTTTTATAAGATTTCCAGCCTTTAACAGAGTGACGCTGAGTTAAATAATATTCATTGAGCTCAGACAGCATGGATACTTCAAAATCTTCACCAGTAAGAACTCCTGGAATCACATTTGGTGTATGACAATTGTACAGTTGCTCAGAGATTACATTGGTATCAGGAGTGGAGGTAGAAGCAATAAGCTTTGGAGCAAGTTCATTTCTTCCAGAAGATAGATTTGTGGAGTTGTGCCCCTCAAGTTTCTCATTCCACACAGTACCCCCTTTCATTTCGTTAGATGATGTGCTCACAGAAGGCTTGTTCTCTATGGAAAAAAGAGAAAACATTAATTTTAGTTTCTCTATGTAACTAGCCTCATTTGATACTGAAGTTTTTTTTGCATAAAATACATTGTTTAAAATTTAAAACTTTCAAACTCAGATATATGATACAAGTATACCTTCAAGAAACTGATGAGCAGAATCAGAAGAATGAAAACTGTAGCCTTCCATGTGATCTCTTCTAACCTCAAAGGGCTGATGAGGCAATAAGAAAAAGGACACCAAACATATATTTATATCATCGTTTAAAAACTTCAGTGTTGTATTCATTAAAAGTTTCACTTTCAGGGAGAGAAACGATGAATAAGCTGGTTAGCATGCATTCAACAAAGTAGTAATTTGAAGTTAGTACGTAAAGATTATAAGATTTACAGCTAACTGTGTGCCTAAGATTTCCAACCAGCGTAGTAACCAATTACCTCTGATATTGAGGAATTGATTAAGGACTTTGTCCCAAAATTCATGGTTTTATTAACCAGGGGAAGTAGATTTTCAGCGGAAGTTTGTGCATTAAAATCAAGCCCAACAGGATCGGTAGCTGGAGATAGGGATGTCAAAAATTCGTCTGGTTCATTGTGTTTGCTCACAGGACTGTTATAATTTCCAGAAGCCTCAAGGGGTTTGGCAACCTCTGGATCCAAGTTCTCTTTATACTCATCACACGTTTTATTTTGCTTCTCTTGAAAAGTTTTATGCTGTTCCTTTCTCATCAGCTCAAACAAATCTAATTGAGGGAACCCATATTAGCATCAGAAGATCAGTTTACCGTTAAAGCTTTACTGACTGGCTGGTTGACTGCAACCATTAAGGCAAGAATGCAAGTCTGTAACTACAATGGGAAATTAAAGGAGATTTTACCTTTTCTCCTTTCATCCTCAGCCCTATCCCAAGTCAGAAGCTCAGACGAACCAAATGTCTCATCATTATTAAGGTCTTCACTCTCTGTCCTAGAATGAACTTTTGCCTGAAAAGAAAACAAATTCTGATAATGAACCATACTTCTTTGGTATAATTTTTCAAATATAGTTTTCCTTATATTCTGGACCAAAAAGGACAATGAGCATTATCCAACATTATTTGTAATCACATCATCTGAGGCTGTGAAGATACTACTACATCAGTACTGGACAAAAGATATTTTCTACTCTCAATACCTTACAGCAATGGGGAGGCTTATATGCTGCATTACTCCTTTTAAGTAGATTATAACCTTTGCCTTGAACCAGTGAAGCAGAATCTCCAGAAATACGAGATACCCTAGGAAAAGCACCACTTCCTAAAATTCCAAGTTCAGGATTTGGGCTTGGATGTCGAGATAGGTGTCCGTGAAATCTTCTAGAATCTGCATTGGGCTTTGAATGTTTCAACATACCACAATCTTTCAAGCAATTCTACCTTCCATTATGAAACTATCCACAAGATTATAAGCATGAGATTTATAACATGCTAACTTAATAACTTTGAACCTCCTAAAGGCATATTTTCACCAAAAGGTTACTGAATGCACTACTAAGTTGATTGGATACATTTCAGGTGACACATGGTGTTTAACACTGCACGACCACCAGTAGTACAATCTTAATCTGATGGCCAGCTGTAGAAGCATGGGCTCCAATTAAATGAAGGATGTATGCATTATTGTAAACATTAGAAATTTGAGCCTTTTACCAGTGCCTTCTTCAAATGCAAAATCAATCCTAAGCATTTGGCCAGGCTCGAAAAAGAGGGAATGATCATGGCAAAGAGTCTATTCAGGTTCATCAGTTTTGTCACTATCAAGCAGAAGCTCTCTTTAGAAACTAGTGACTAAGGTTAAATAAAAAGTTAAAACAAATCTTCCCCTTCCTCTTCTTTGGGGCTTGGTTACAAGAGAGAGAGATATAATGTCAGAAGAATGATAAAGATTAATATGGACCACTATGCATTTCCTTTCTGAACTTTTTTAACAGCCGGATACAGCATGAAAGGATATCTTTAATGACAGAGTTCCTTCAATTAAACTAAATCTGGACATTTAACACAAATTACTAAATTAGTGTTGCCTTAATGACTTCTCACCACTATAACCTTTGTTAGTCAGCTAATTTCAACTTCATTTTTATTCCAACCATATAGAACACCATATTCATTTAGATAGTGAAAATACTCCAAATGTTCTTTATTATCCAACTTACTGGGAGGTATGTACTGTGATTTATTCAAATTCAATATAAAGCCATGAATATTATTAAAGTATAGATTTTACTAAAACATTCTTTCTCAAACAGAATTCATGATGACATGGTATCAGCATCAAAAGAAAACTAATAACTCCATACAAACTTGAGAGGCTAAAGTCAGTATAAAAAATTAAGTGAATAGATTAACTACATACCTGAACCATGGCAAGGATGCAATAATCCAGTCCTAGAATCAGGAATTTCCCTGTAACAAAAATTTTAAAAGAAAATCAAAACAAGGATTATAAATTTCAGCACAAATGTCAATCCTGGCTATTGTTTATTAGTTACCACTTTCTTACCCTAAAATTGATTGGTCAAGCCCACAAGGTAAACTTTTGCAAGTATCCAGCTCAGATAAAGAAAGGAGAAAGTTTCTGGTATATGATTTTATTGATTCTCTGAACAACAAAACAAGACCAATTCAAACATTATAAAAAAAAACAGGGATAATCTGTTTTGATGACTAATATGCATTAATTTACTACAACAATTTCAGTTTCTAACTCTTTTTTGTTTACATGGTTAAACTCTTAGAAGTAAAATTTTTTCTCTACTTTTTCCTGATACACCCATTTGATAGTTAATAAGGTGAACTTTCACCAACTTTTTATAAGCCATAACACATAATTAATTTTTTTTCCTCCCCTACCATTTTTTTAGCAACCAAACACATAACCATAAATTAAAAAATATAAAATATAAAATTCAACAGAACTGAGTTACAACCTGAAAACATCAACCACCAGAATAGAATACAAATACATGTTTTTAAACATTTGCTCAAACTCTGCAGTATCATGATTTCATTTAACTGTGCCAGTGAACATTGATCCTGACTCTCTGATCATTATTCTTTCATTGCTATACAAGCAAAGCTATTGTATCTAACTTTGCTTAAAAGTAAAAAATTTAGCATATCAAAATTAATTCACCTAAAACATGCCGTACTTTTTGCGTGAATAAAAACTCTAATCATTACGATCTTTACGCTGAGGATTAACTCGTTTTTGTGATCAAATAGGAAGCACAGACAAAGTGGAGAATCAAACTCTTACAACTAAATTTAAAAATTTCACCAGAAAGTCGGTGACTGAAGTGTAAGGATCTTAAAAATTTTCACCAAAAGTTTTTAATGCGAAACAAACACATAATTTCATTTCAATCCTTTTCTATAACTTTCTCAGCAACCAAACAGGTAACTATAAAAATAACTTTCAATAAATTGTCTCGAACTTAAAACATAAACACATAATAGACTTTGAATATTTACTTATGAAACTGTGGAAGTTCATCATCTGACTTTGACTGTTCCAGTAAAATGTAATCCTCACTTGCTGATCTCATTTTCTGCGGAAAAATACACGCCATGAAAACAAGGCGACTTAGCTTACAAGTCCAAAACTTAACACATTAAAGTTTCAAATCACCAAACAAATGCGGTATAGTATGCTGTGTGAGTCTAAACCCTAACGGTGTCTATCTTTTCACAGAGAGTAAGACATTAACTTGCTTTTGTATTATGAAAGCTACTGCAAAAGACAAAATGGAGAATGCAAAACTTAAGTAAAAGAATTTTCTCGGAAAGTTGGTGAGAAAAAGTTTAGGATATTTATGTTCTTAACTGGCTAAATGAGAGTTAAATGAAGTGAAGAAAGAGGTGAAGGTGATTTGCAGAGAAGGACCACCTCCTTGCGTTGTGCGTGAACTGGTTATTGTGCCAGAGTGGCAGACTGGCAGTTGGAGTCTATATGTAGGAAGAAATAGGACCTGCAGTTTAGGGGGAGTATACTATCTGTCAGCTGCTATTTAGTTTAAATTGTAGAAAATTAATTTTATTAACCTTTTTTTACACACTGATTTTGCCATTTATATGTAATAATAAATGATTAAAATATTCTTTTTGGTAACACAATTAATAATGTCATTAATAAGAATAGCTTTTATGATTATATTAATATATGTATTACTATATTATTACTAAATTCCATTTATTTGAGTTTAATTACAACGTCCTTGTATATCATAATTGAAACAGGTTATTAATTTCTTTTTAATCCCCTTGTACATGTAAATGTTACACTAATGTTTGATCAAGAAAAAGAAAAGAGTATCACTATATTTTAACTATTTTATTTATTTATTACATAATATAAAAATAATAAACTTATCTTTATAATATACAATTCCTTACAATAAGATATGCTCATTGCATAAATAAATAACTTTTTTCAAAATTTAAATTATTTGATATAGGGGTGTTAAAAAAAATGTAAAAACCGAACCGAACCGAAAAACCGGTTAACCGAAAAAACGGTTCGGTTACGGTTCGAAAAATTCAAAAAACCGAATTTTTGGTTCGGTTAACGGTTCGGGAAAAAATAAAAAGCGGTTAACCGAAACCGGTTTTTTGAACCGGTTATATATATATATATATATAATAAAAATAAATATTATATATTAAATAAAAAATAATAATATTATATATTATATATTAAATAAATAATAATAATATTTTTAATGTATCGTTAGTAGTGGTCAATAGATATATATGAATGTCTAATTTTTATTTAGATATGTATTATTTATATTTACAATTTAATTTAGGAAAAAATAAAAAAAATAAGTTTTATAAAAAAAAGGGAAAACCGGTTAACCGAAAAACCGGTTTTCCCTCTAAACCTGTTTGATTTCGGTTTGGGAATTTTCCCAAACCGAAAAACCTGTTCGATTCAAAAAAACGGTTAACCGCTTTTGAACACCCCTAATTTGATATTCATGCAGACAAAACTTAGGTGGGTTTTGGAGGCCCATGAAATTCCTTTTAGCCCGATAAAAATTACAGTAGCCCAATTAGCGGGTCCGAAGTGACCTGTATAAATAAACAGTCAGTTTACTAGGGTTTACCTTCTGCCCCGAAAGTAGCTCTACATTTCTCTTGCTCCTGTAGCTGCCGCGAGAAACCAGCCGGACAGAAAGGGCTTATCTTATTTTCGCTTCGCAGCCATGGTGACTATTTCTGTCTTTAACTAGTGTTGGTGCAGTCTAGCTAATGGTTAATATGTTTAACGATGTTCTTCGTTTTATGTTCAGATTATTCCAGAGAAGAACCGGAAAGAAATCTGCAAATACCTCTTCCAAGGTCCGTCTCTTATGATTTACTTGTACTCAATCATGAGTTCGTTTTTTGACTAGTTAATTTGTTTGGTTACTGTTCGCTTCACATTTTAGTATTATAGATGTTTCCAGATCTTATGCTTTCTGTAATAGCACATAGGGTTAAATGATCTTGTGTGTTCTTTACGTCGATTTACAAATAAATAATTAGGATGATAACTGTGGTTGGTTTCCGTAAAAACTGCAGTTTCGCTACGGTGATTTTAATTGCTTTTTAATAGTAGAAAACTTGAGCCAACGTAGTGTTATAATTAAGCTAAACTAAGTCTCTTTGTTGGAATTGCTTGGTACTGCTGGATTAATGTATTGCAACTGCAACCTAGCACTTTTAATATATATTATTATACAAGTAACTTTCGGCCTTAATTAGTGTCAATAATGTTGTTTATAATGGCATTTTATGTCAAAAGTGTGACATTCTCCTCGTAATGTGGTCTGATAACATAGTATGCCTAGGGAGATTCTAATATACAAAATTCTGGCATGCTTTCCTGCACTTTTTGGCGGTTGATCAGTGATATAAGGGTTTTTTTTTTTTTTTTTTTAAATGTTGTAAAACTCCTTTGGATCCACAGAGGGAGTCTGTTACGCAAAGAAGGATTATAATCTCGCGAAGCATCCAGAGATTGATGTTCCCAATCTGCAAGTGATTAAGCTAATGCAGAGCTTCAAATCCAGGGAATATGTGCGTGAGACATTCGCTTGGATGCACTACTACTGGTATCTTACCAATGATGGAATTGAGTTTTTGAGGACTTACCTCAATCTTCCATCAGAAATTGTGCCTGCCACCTTGAAGAAGTCTGCAAAGCCTACTGGCCGCCCTATGGGTGGCCCTCCTGGTGATCGTCCAAGGTATTTTATTTTTATTAATTATTCTTTTTTTGGGTCTTAATTATGTCTCTGTTGGAGTGGTTTTACATTTTTCAGTTATAATGTGATTGAAAATGTTATTATTATTTGACCTTTAGGGGCCCACCTCGCTTTGATGGAGACCGTCCAAGATTTGGTGACCGTGAAGGATACCGTGGAGGCCCCCGTGGTGGTGATTTTGGTGGTGAGAAGGGAGGAGCCCCTGCAGATTTCCAGCCATCCTTTAGGGTACTTTCTCTTTATTTGAAGACCTCACATTTTGATTAGTTTGTATTTTGGTTAATGAATGAGAGCCTGCATTTTCTTTTCATTTTCTTATTTAATCATTTTCCATAATATATGCTTGAGTGGCTGAACAATCAAAATCTTTAAAAATCCACTTAAGCAAGTACCGAAATGGCTGTTGTCTTGTTCCATTTTCCAACTGGTTTCCTTGTAGGACTACAGATGCACCCACTTTATATATTCAAGAGCATTGTGTTTTTGGATGATTATGTGGTACCTCAAGATAAGGAATCGAAGTAGTGATTAGGATGAATTTTTAGGGGCTGGTTGCTGATTTTACTTCTGATTATGTTTGCTATTCAATATTGCATTCCATTGTGAATGCGCCGGATTGAATTTGAGCAATATAAGATTAAGATCAATGACATACTTGAATTCTGTCTGGTATGCATGAGAAAATCACATAAATGATTAAATGATAGAGGAGTCTAGTTGGAGAAAAGGTTGCTTTAGTTACATGGATGCTTGCTTCTTATTTGTGGAGAAAGAATTATGAAGCATCTAAAGTACATTGTTGACTCTGTCCCTTAATTGATTTAGTTATCAATCTTCTTTGCTATAGTTTTATTGAAGGAGAGGAAAAGAGGATACTTATTTTTGGGTTTTTGGTTTAAAATGAATGAATACTATGTTCTGTTGATATGTGGTTACTCTCCTATAAATTTAAATTTTCACAAGTGCTGAAACTGTATTGTTTTCATGGGTAGATTACATGTCTCATATGTGAAACTAATTGCTGTTTTGGCCTGCAGGGTGCTGGTGGAAGGCCTGGCTTTGGTCGTGGAGGTGGAGGTGGAGGATATGGCGCAGCTCCTTCAGGTTCAGGATTTCCTTGAAATGAAGATCGTTCTCTTAGTTGAAGTTTGTCTCAAAGTTAGTTTCATGTCTAAGAACAGATCTAATGCCTTTATTGAGTTTTCTATAGTGTTTTGTAAGCTTTAAAGTAGAATATTAGGAGCTTATTATGAGATCTTTAATTTTGTCCAACCTTGGTTTTTGATGGAAATGGAACTCTCATCATTATTTGCATCATGTTATTTCGGGGGTAATTTGATGTTTAGTGCAAGAATTATAAACATGGCTGCGATCTAATACATAAACTATTCATTTGTTGTGCCCCCCCGGGGCTCGTGGTGGAAAGAGTGTTTTTATAAGCGTAACTTTTACTCCATGTCACATCCTTGGGCGTATCTTGATTTTCTCGAAGACGAAAGGACTTTGCATATAAAAAAATTAAGGAATTTGTTTTTGATTATGCACTATCCTTCGATTCTTGGATGTTCAAGATTTCTTCTCAGATGGAAGTGCACGCATTGTGCCGTTATTGCATATTTAGAATAGGTACCGTTATTGCATATTTAGAGTAGGGTTAGTTTGTTTTAGGTTCGGAATACTATTATTAGTATTTCTAAAAAAGATAAACAGTAAAATGTTATTATTTTTAAAATATTATTTTATATTTTTTAATTTCTTTAAAACCTTCTAAATTTATTAATTTAATTAAATACTTTCAAATATTTTTTTTAGAAGTTGTAAAAATACTTCGATCACCCTTCAACGGTAGTAGTCAGTTGTCCGTATTTAATTGGTGGGTTGAGGATATTGTTGTTAATTTGGGTTGAGGATATTGTTGTTAATTTTTAATATTTTATTATAAAGGTGTTTGGTAAATAAACAAATATAGGGGATATTTTTTGTTAATTTTCAAATCTTATATAATAATATCTGCCTAATTTAATTTTTTTAAAAGATTATTTTAAAAATTATTATAATAATAAATCAAATAGAGCCTTAATATTTTAAATAAGATTTTTTGATTGCGTTTGTTTCATTATTTGCAACCGGATTCTATATCCTATTAACCAAATAACGTTTGTTTTATTATTCACAGAAACTATTTTGAAAATCAAATTCTGATACATTACTTTTTTTTTTTTTTTTCTGTCCTGACTGCTTCACCGTCACACCTGCCTCTCATTGGACTAATCTACTGTAAAACCATCTTCCTCTCAATTCTAACAACACAATATAATTTTAATAAATCATATTAATATATTATTTTAACAAAATATAATATTAATATTAATAAATCATATTAATATATTATTTTAACAAAATATAATATTAATAAATCATTTATAAAAAAATATATCAATCAAATATTCAACACAAATATCAAAATTAAAATACTCTACCAAACACATATTCTTTAAATCATATTCTCGTAATTATAACCCTATCCAACTATCTAATACTATCTCTAAAATTTTATCCAAAATAATAAATCAAACGTACTTGATATTTTTAGAGTTGGGTGAGAATAACGAGATAAGATTTAAAAATTAACAAAAACACTTCTCTAGGTTTGCTAATTTATGAAACACTCTAATATATAAAATTTTGTAAAATGACAAAAACACTCCCACCCCACAATTGTCAGATTTCGGCCATCATCGTCAAAATCTGGCGTTACGGCGCAGGACTGGTAAGATCTGACCGTTCGTATGTCGATATGACCTTTTTCGGCTAGATCCACCACAGATCTGGTCGGAAAATACTAGATCTACGGCCATTTCTAGCCGTCAACAACGACCAAAGATATGGTCGTTGACGACTAACTATGGCCAAAGATCTGGTTGTCAACGGCCAAAGCTTTGATCGTGAATCTGGCCGAAAAATGATAGATCAGCATACTACCGATCAGATCCAGTCAGTAGTATATCATTATACCAGATTCTGACTATTTTTTGACGGTAGTGGTCAGAATTTGATAAATGTGAGTAAGTGGTGGTGTTTTTGTTAATTTTTAAGCTTTTTTCTGAGGGTGTTTAATTAAATTAATACAATTAAGGGATTGAAAAATAGTTAAAGAAAATATAATAGCATTTTGAGGATAATGAAACAAACAGTTAGATAAGATTGAATACAGGATATGGAATAATGAAACAAACAGACCAGATACGGTGAAATATTCAAAGCCCTCATCTCATCTCTCATATGCTATAGCGAGTTTTCGCGGATATATGCTTCATCCCTTCTTGCGTAAATTACTGTTTAAAAAACAGAAAAAGGATTTTAATCATTAAAAGATTTAAGGAAAATCGTCTAAAGCATTTTCTCTTTGCCGCTTGTGCTTTTCGGTTGGAGAAATATGCTTCTATAACTAGAGAATCGACCAGTCTGAGGTTGTTACTGTAAAAATATGCTTCTTCAACTAGTGAATCAACCATTCTGGGATTGTTATTGTAAGATTTAATGCCCTCAACGTATCAAATAGATAAAGTATAAGTGGAACAGAAAAGTGTGAAACAGCCTTATATTGACACTTTGGCAAGGTAGAAATGGGACAAACTAGTTACTAACACTGCTTACGACCTTGCAAAACAAAAAACAGAAAACGAGACTCATACAAAAGACAGGAAGGGACGATTTATGAGCTTAACCAAGCACATCTCTAATTACTCGTAATACTTATTTGCACATCCTAAAACTTAGTCAACCTCCTCCATCTTGCTCTCCTCAGCACCGTCTTCCTCCAATGCGGGCATGTCAGTGTCATCCTCGGCAGTCTCTTCCTCATCAATGCTAAGACCCAATTTCAACATCCTATGAATCCTTGAAGCGAATGTGTTTGGATCATCAAGGCTGAATCCAGAGGTCAAAAGAGCGGTTTCGAATAGCAGCATCACTAGGTCCTTGACGGACTTGTCATTCTTGTCAACCGCAGCTCTCTTTCTGAGTTCCTCCGTGATTCCGTTGTCAAGGTTAATCTCCATTGTCTTCTTGCTTGACATGTATGAACCCATGCTGTTGTCCCTCAAGGCTTGGGCCTTCATGATCCTCTCCATGTTAGCACTCCAACCATACTCTCCAGTCACCAAACAGCAAGGAGAGTCCACAATTCTGTCAGAAACAACCACCTTCTCAACTTTATCGCCCAAGATATCCTTGATTATCTTGCAAAGGTCTTCAAAAGACTTCTTCTTTCCCTCTTTCTTTTTTTTCTCTTCCTCGGTCTCCTCGTCAAGTTTCAATCCTTCCTTTGTGGTGGAAACCAGCTTCTTGCTGTCATATTCCGTCAACTGACCAACGGCATATTCATCAATAGCGTCAACCATGAAGAGGACTTCATAGCCCTTCTTCTTGAGTCGCTCCAAGAATGGAGAGTTCTCAACAGCCTTCTTGCTTTCACCAGTAATGTAGTAGATGTCCTTCTGACCTTCCTTCATCCTGGTGACATAATCCTTCAAGCTTGTCAACTCATCACCACTCTTGGTTGAGTGGTACCTGAGCAGGTCTGCCAACTTGGCTCTGTTCTGGCTGTCTTCATGGATACCCAACTTCAAATTCTTCGAGAAAGCCTTGTAGAACTTGTTATAATCTTCCTCATTCTCCACAATCTCATTGAACATTTCTATGCATTTCTTCACAAGGTTCTTCCTGATTACCTTTAGGATTTTGTTCTGTTGCAACATCTCACGAGAGATGTTGAGTGGCAAGTCATCAGAATCAACAACACCCTTGACAAATCCAAGGTAATCAGCGATAAGCTCCTCACAGTTGTCCATAATGAACACCCTCCTGACATAGAGCTTGATGTTGTTCATCTTCTTGCGGTTGTCAAAGAGATCAAATGGTGCCCTTTTAGGGACAAAGAGAATTGCCTTGAATTCAAGTTGACCCTCAACAGAGAAGTGCTTGACAGCAAGGTGCTCTTCCCAGTCATTGGTCAGGCTCTTGTAAAAAGCAGCATATTCATCCTTGGTGATCTCTTCTGGCTTGCGCAACCAGATGGGTTTCTGCTTGTTGATCAGCTGCCACTCATGAGAAACCTCCTTAATCTTCTTCTTCTTCTTTGATTTGGTCTCTTTCTCTTCATCAACGTCTTCAACTGCACCTTCCTCCTTGTAGGATTCATCATCTTCATCGTCACTGATTTCTTTCTCGGTTGTTTTCTCAGTCCAGAGGTAGATAGGGTAGCTAATGAATTCAGAGTGTTTCTTTACAAGGTCCTTAATTCTCCGCTCTTCCAAGTATTCAAGCTGCAAAAACATATTTGTAAGAAATTCCATCAGTAACCAATCACATAATATACATCATGAAGTACAACTTAGATATTGAATTTATGTTTTTACCTGATCCTCCTTGAGGAAGAGAGTCATTTTGGTACCCCTGCCAAGCGGCTCTCCACTAACGTCCCTTATAACAGTGAAGGAACAACCAGCTTGTGATTCCTAGATATACTGCTCATCGTCATTGTGCTTTGTGTGACAGCCACCTTCTCTGCAACAAGGTAAGCAGAGTAGAAACCGACTCCAAATTGACCAATCATGGACACGTCAGCTCCAGCCTGCAAAGCTTCCATGAACTCCTTGGTTCCAGATCTTGCAATTGTACCCAAATTATTCACCAAATCTACAAAAGTCAATAAAATAGTCAACATAATTTCAAAAGCCCGATAGATAATTCATCTTTCTCTGCAAAATACATTCCAATTCTAAAGCTTCAATCACAATCTATCAAGCATGATGATAGTATGCACTGAATTCTAAACATTCATATCGGGAAAATTTTAAACATTTCAACTGATATTCGTAATATTCATAAACAGAGCAAGCATATAATTGAGTTTTGTTACGCTGCTTCTAATTACTGTTTACGAAAATAAGTGAAAACAAAGCACTTACAAAATAGGAGGAACAAGTAAAATCAGTTCCACCTCTACAGTAATTCGATGCCACCAATCAGAGTAGATTATACTGCACTGTAATCTACGTTTCCATATCATTCATTCACTAGAAAACTTGAAACCAAATTGAATTTCTTTTTCGTGATGGTCATAAATATAATAAAAACACAATCGAGTTTAGATACACTGCTTCTAAAGGTCAAAAAATAAAAACGCATATAAAAAATGTAGAAAAGTTTAATTACCTGCTTTGGTCATCCCGACACCGCTATCAATGATAGAGAGAGTCTTGTTAGCCTTGTCAGGCACGATTCGAATGAACAACTCCGGCTGAGCATCAAGCTTGCTCTTGTCTGTCAAGCTCTCAAATC